GTCTCTCTCTCTCTCTCTCTCTCTCTCTCTCTCTCTCTCTCTCTCTCTCTCCCTCCCTCCCTCCCTCCCTCCTGCTCCTAGTGTTCAGCTGTCGGTCTATTTAATTTTGTTGACTTTGAGAAAGCGTTTGATAGCCTGGACAGGGGAAAAGTATGGGAACTCGCGCATCACTGTTGTATCCCAGAAATGTTCAACATAATGGTCAAGAAGTTGTGTGAAGGAACTAGTTGCAGATTTTGGTGGGAAGACAACTGACTGATACGTTTCAAGTGGAGACAAGAATCGGGGGGGGGTGTTTGCTGTCACCTCTTACCTCTTTTGATTTTGATTGCTCTGGAATGGATTGTGAGACGTCAGACCAGTTCTGGTTTTATGATAGCATAAATGGACCTTGAAGTGTCTTGTGAAGGATCTGGATGTTTCTGACTGTTAACCACTTCTCCGCCCCAGGGATAGCTGAGTGCAAAAGAAAACAGGTGTACTCAAAAAGGTGCGAAGCAGAAGTGAACTTCATTTCAACAGAGGCAATGTGGAATGATTACTCCGGAAGTCACTCTTCAAGGAATGCAGTTGGTGGATACGAAGTCTTTCAAGTAGAAAGGCAAAAAGGAAATGAGGAGTATGTCAAGACGAGGGTCCACATGGCACGATTTATTAATCTTTATTTTTTTCTACGAAAAGTCTGGGAGTTCAAAGAGCTCCATGCTAAGGCTTTTTAAAAGCAGTTTTCAATCTCCTCTGTTGCAAGGAGCCGAAACCTGGAGATAAGACAAAGATGGGCGTTTGCCTTTGGGCCCGAGTTGGTTTGGCATTGTCAGTTCAGAAGAACTGTTTGAGATAACATGTAGAGAGAAAGTTGGGGAAAAGAGTAACACGGAGAAGATGGTGGTAGATTGGACTCACAAAAGGAGAATCGATGACAACGACAATTGCAACTAGAAAGTGAAAGGTGCTGAGGTGGAACTCGCGAGGGTCAGAGTAGAGGAACTGAGGAATGTCTTTAACAGCATGACAGAAAGGTTGAGGTAGATGTCAAGAAACTTGGAAAACTTTGGACACAACTGGTGACAGATGTAGGGGACAGACTTCTTTGAAGAATTGTTAATGACCATTGCTTCTTCCTCTTACAGGAGTTTGAATGGGAGGGAGAGTGAGAAAGAGATGCCCCCCCCCTTCCCCCACCCCACCCCTGATACACAATACACACATGCACACACACACATTGTTCCTTTATCTGTTAAGGTTCTACTGGCCAACAACCATGTCTCGTCTATTTTTCGCTGAGAACTTTTTTTTTCCCCATTCCTGTGACTTCTGATTATGTCTGTTCTGATCTCTGTCCATTTAATTTGAGGGGTTTATGAGATAAGTCATGTAGCAGCCTTTCTTTAAAAGTAGCAAGTTTTTTAAGGAAGAGAGAAAAGGCCATAGTGCAGGTATCGTTTTTGAATTTATGACCTGGATACTACCCTTTAAGAAAAACCTTGTTTCCTTTTAAAATATTTTAAAAACTAATACATTTTTTGGGCTACTGATTACTTTACTTTTAATAATTTTTCTTTTACTCATAAGAAATTGTTTCGTGGGATTTTTACTAGTTTATTTCATTTTTTTTTTGTGAACTGTATATTGTGTGTGCCACCCCTGTGAATTGTATCCATGTTTCGTTATTTTCTTTCTTTTACGATTTTTATGACAGTGAGACTGGAGGGTGCAGCTGTTACATGCTACTTCTGTCTCAACCTGCAGCTTGTACATCTGTCTTTTACATCTTTTTCTTCTACACTCTTTGATTTGTGTACTTTTTGTAAAGCTTTAGATAATTT